AAGAGCACAAAACACCAAATGAAATGGGTTCTTAGCTTAAGAAATGGATGGATATCTATTATTAAGAATTTCAGTAAATGATTATTTATAAGGATTCCTTGAAATATGATAGTTGTATCTGCATGTAATGTGAAGATGTGGAGTTTTCGCCACAGGAAAAATGAAAGCTGAGGGATGGTGTTATATAGAGCAAATGGACTGCAGGATTTTCATTGGAAAATATATTGTTCATGTGATATGGCATCTTTAAGTATCAGATGGTATAAAATAATATTATTTGTTTAAAAATTTAAGCTATTAATTAATTCATTGTTCCATCTACTGATCAAATCTTATTTCCTAGCAATGGCAGCAGCTGTCACCGGATGATGTCTTTGGTTTTGTGACTTCAGGGTTTGTATAATTAGTAGTGTAGCTCACTGGTATAAGGAAGAAGATTTTGCTGATTATTTTAGAAATGTCAGATACGGTAGTTTTGCTATAGGATGTTTCAAATGAACATGTAGAGGAGACTAAACTCAATGGCTGAATCCTACTTTTCTGTGTGGCCACCTGAAAAAAATTAAGAAACGAGATATCTATTAAAGCTAAATATGTCACATTTCAAAGTTTTTAATAGAGAATGATTATGTAGTTCTAACTGTAGGCTGAGCACTATTCTACTGGTGTGTGCATGATAATGCCTTTGATCCTCTCAGGATGCCAGTAAGCACTAATAATTTTATCATCCCATGTCTAAACAAAGAAACTGAGAGGATAAATAGGCTAGTGTGACATGTAGTTACTCAAAGAGCTGGAATTCGAAGCAGACTGTCCGGCTTCAATGCTCACAAGAATACATTCATAGTATTCCCTCTTATGTCTGTTCTAAGACACTGTTGTTGAATACATTTCATACTAGGCCACAGTCAGAACCACTTAACTATACAATAGAACAAGATCTTATGTTCTGAAGGCTGAATTGGAGAAATTTAAAAATCTTATAATTTCTATATTGCTTAGTATATCACTTAAACTGCAATGGAAATATGTTTATTATTACTTCAGCATTTAACCCAAAGTTCACACACACACACACACACACACACACACACACACACACACACACAGAGAGAGAGAGAGAGAGAGAGAGAGAGAGAGAGAGAGAGAGAACTTTTGGCATCCCAAGGAGTAGAGACTATTTAACATCACTTGACAATGCTCAAAGATATTACATATCCTACTTTTCTTTTTTGGATATTATGATATAATTTCAACATTTTTTTGTGTCTTTTCCTCCCTCCAAATCCTCCCACATACCTCTCCTTGCTTGCTTTTGAATTCATGGCCTTTTTTGCTTAGTTACTGCATGTATATATGCAAAAGCATATAAATAAAGACAATCCCACATGGTAGAGAATTGCCTTGTCCTGAATCCCACAGTACCCAGCTGAGAAAGAATGGATGACAATGTACTACCTTCTAAACTAAGCAAGCTAGCTATTTTGTGGAAAGGTTGGCACAGAAAAATAATGTATTTTAGGATCCATCCCATCAAACTAAATCCACTATACAAAAGTAAAAACCATCAAACCTGGACTGTTTGAAGTCATTTAATGGAACTATTAAATCATTACAATTCACTGTAATGTAGAAAGTAGCTTAGAAGGTGGTAAGCTGGTATACTGAATTTGCTTACTTGCATTCTAACTGAATATTCTGGAAATGATAATCCCTATACAGACTTGACTTTAGGGAGTTAAAAATCACCATTAAAATACCATGCATTCCCTAAGAAGTGTGCCTGTAATTACAAGGTCAGCGTGAATTGTCACAAGTACTGAAATACTTGGCTTGCCGTCAGGAGTTTAGCACTGAAGAACAGGTAATGGCGTATGGCATGATTTAGTGGGAAAATGAGACCTTTTAGTCAAGCATTCAGAATTAAAGTATGATTTTACTGTTTTATAGAATAAAATTGATTTCCTCAAGCTACGTTTTTTTTTCTTCTGGAAATAACTTGCTATAATGCTCTGATCTAGCTAGCCCATAAAGCTGGCAGAAGACTAAATTTTGAATTTTTAACGAAAGTAATTTATGAAAACATTGTTGCCTTGGCCACATCTGGGAATGTCATAATAGCACTTTATTCTTCACAACTAATGGGACTAGAGAAGAAAGCAAACTCTTATTATTTGCTCTTGTTTCTTGGTCATAACTCCTGAATATCTCTGGGAAAATCATCTTATACGTATCAACTAAGTAACAAATAAAGCAAATTAATATGCCTTTTCATGATTGGTGGTATGCTTTATAGTCTCAAGGAATTAAGGCATGAAAGAAATAGAACCATTCTTGGTGTGTATGATTGACTCCCACAAGACCATTCCATCCTCCACAGGTCTGGCCTTACTTAAGTTTGGGACTCTCTCAGTGACTGCCAGAACATGTATGCAGATGTCTCTAGGAAACTTCTAGATAGGACTGTTTTATACTGTTACATCAGCAATCTTGTACAAAGAACACTTGGCTATCCTTTTCAATACTGGAGTGTTTGAGATGCTCATATTTCTCACAAGTACATGTCTTTTTCATAAATAATGATAAAGGGGTTATGTTTGAGTTTCCCCTCTACTCAAGTGCCAATTTACATAAGTATGTGATGTCTACAGAAGTACCTCAAACACCTTTCCTTTCACCATTGTCTTAGGTGAGGCTTTCAGTACTTGCCTATTAGACTACACAATACAGTGACAAAGTTTCTGAAAAAGTAAAAGTCAGTAAACAGCAACTGAAAACTTACGCATTCAGTAAGTACTTGGTAGTATAACACATCTTTATTTTCTTAATAGTACTATAGAAAACTAGGCAAGGACCCAAATTGTATCTATCTTAGAACCTCTTAGAAATAAATCTTCTAAAACAAAAGGTGGAACTTATAGGAAGGACAGGTCTTGTTAACTTGACAGGTTCTAGATTCACTCAGGAGTCACATCTTTGGGAACGTCTGTGAGGATGTTTCTAGATTGAATTAATGCAGTGGGAGGACCCTAATTCGGGTGGTACCATCCATGGGCCAGATTACTGGATTGAATGAGAGCGAAAAACAGAGCTGAAACTAGCTTCCTTATTTCTGTTTCCGGACTCTGAATTCAGTGTGACTAGCTAGCTGATGTTCATCCTACTGTGAGTTCCCTTTAGTGATTTGACTGGACCCTCAACCTGAGCTGAAATACACCCTTCTTTCATTCCTTCCTTAGGTTGCTTGTTACCAGGTGTTTGCCATAGCAACAAGAAAAGAAACTAATGCTGCAAATGCAGTGCTTTCTATACTCTGGTTCTCAGTGTGTTTTGGGTTTTCCTTCTCGGTGGTGTTTTTTATGAGGCAAGGATTCAAAAACAAAAATGAGAGCCAGGTGGTGGTGGCACATGCCTTTAATCCCAGAACTCGGGAGGCAGAGGCAGGTGGATCTCTGTGAGTTTGAGACCAGCCTGGTCTACAAGAGCTAGTTCCAGGACAGGCCCCAAAGCTACACAGAGAAACCATGCCTCGAAAAACAAAAACAAAACAAAGCGAAAGAATGCTTTGAATCTCATGATGGCGTTCCATGCCTGTAATCTTAAAAATCTTTGTATAAAATCATAGGATACTTTATCAGAGGGAACTTTGGTACCAATGCCAAGTGTGTCCACTGAGAAGTGATTTGCTGAGCTAAGGGCACAGCTAGGGTAAAATCTGGGCTTTGTCCTATTCTCTAGATCCCTCACTATTATACCAGGTACCATAGTATGGTGATATCAAGGTATGTCAGATGCTGCAATTAAACACATGGGTCAATGTCCTGATATAACAAAGGAAGGTGATGGGGATATGTATGGTGCTAGTGCTTAACTCAGTATAGGAAACTTACTGAAAAGGTGAAGACCAACAAAAAAAATGTGAATGGAGATTCCTAAGAAATAAGCAAGGAACTAAATCTGAGGGATGTCAGAAATGTACCAAGGGTAACTCCTGGGTTGTCACTCTTTTTGAAGCAAGTCTGTCAGGAATTGGATTACTTTCTCCATAGTTTCAACAGATTGAGCTTCAACCTTCCTTCCTGCTATGAAGGTCTACTGCACAAAAGATGGATATTCATAATATCTCTTGGCATGGCAAGGATTTCCAAGTCTTCCAGGTATTAGGAAATGAAATAGAGCCTTGGCAAGTATTTCCTTATTCTTGACTCATAAATGTAGGCTATGTGGCCCTTTAAACCACTTAAACAGTGTATAGTAAATGAGAATAGACACCGAGGGAACGGGTCGCCACTTTATAAGCTCCTAGTACAATCTTCATTTCATCAGAAAATGGCTACTGTGTTGATATGAATTATGTATATTTCAAAAGAAACAAAAAATTAAGCTATTGTTCAAATTTCATCCTAACATCTGTGTTAACAATCTTGAAGGAGGGGCAATAATGCTCCAGGAAGCAGGAGAGATATGAATTGAATTCAAAGATGTCAAAAGCTGTAGTTTACTTTAGCTTGAAGAGCTCTTGTATGGGGTGGTAAAGGGATCATTGTTTTCTGGAAGAGTGTATAATCCTAGTATACAGCCTCCCTTCTCTTTTTCCCCCTGTTTACATAAATACCACCCTTCAGACACAACCTTTCCCTAGAGGGAGACATTGGAGATATGGACTGTGAACTCTGGATGAGAATGAAGTTTACTGAGTAACACAGGCAGGAAGAAAATGACAATCAAAGGAAAACTTTTAAAAAAAATCAAGCACGACATAAAGATGAAGAAAGGATTGGTGTGGGTAAGGACACACATGAGACAAATGAAGCCCAAGGGAGCCCTGCAATGATGCTAAAAACACTGCTGGAAATTACTTTGTGTAAAACCTACCTTCATCCTTCATTTTGTTTGACTGGGGCTGGTTCTGCCAAGGAGAACCAACTCTAATTGCATTAGATAGAATATTTCAGTGGTAGAAATAAACAGAACATTATTAAAAAGAGAATTAGGCTTATGTCTTGTGCATTAAGGCTAGCCAGACCAATGTCACCTTTGGCCCTGGTTCACCCTAGAAAGAAATAATTTATACAGTAAAAATAAAATGTATTTCAAACCTTTTACTAAGAAAATAACAAGAGTTTTATACTGTTTGGATATATATGAAACAAAATGATTATTTGTTAATCCACTGAAAGAAACATGTATTTGAAGAATAAACAGTTCTGAGCCCTAAAACCAAAGAAGTTCAAAGGTTAAAGGAATGCTGCATAAAAAATGATTAGAGTAGAATTAGAACAAGGATTAGTTCTTTTCTTCCATAAGCAAGAAATAACTTTCCAGAGGGCATTTTGGCAATATATACCAAGGATCTTAAATCAGTTCCTTCCACCTGGCCCTGTGATTTTCTTTAAGAATGTATCCTAAGGAAATAATCATATCAGAAGCTTAAGGCACCTTATAAAAAAAACACAGTGGTATTTACGAGAAACATTCCAGATGCTCAAGAATAAGGAATTTATCTAATAAATTATTGCACATAGATGAATGAACTGTGGTGCAGCCTCTAAAGCCATGTTATGATTTTATGTTATGATTATTTTATACTACAAAATTATTAGTATCCAAATAATAGAATACAATGAACAAATTGAAAAATCCAATGAGTATATCTCAACTACTATGTGTTATTTTTTAAGAGAGTGTTCATCCCCAGTTGGGACGTCTTTATTGCATCCTCATCCCTACCCAAACTTAGGGAAGTTTGTGGGAAAGCAGGAGAATTGGAGAATGGGGAAGAGTGCTGTGAAATGTCTGCTGGACATGACAGATATCACACTCATGAACACAGAGAAGCTGATCAAGACCTGACCTGCACTAGCTCAAGCCAATCAAAATTCTGGCATAGATGGCAAAGAGGCTTTGTAGGCTCCGCCCTTAATAAGGGGCTACTGGCAGTCAGCATATATTCTTATGAAGTCATAAGTGTTCAAAATGGCCATGAATATCACAGTGGATAATATATAATAACAATGACACCTAATGTTGTTCAATTTCTGTCTGAAAGATGTATTTACTGGCGTAACATGTAAACCTATAGTACAATTCAATTTCTTAAAAATGTTAGTTTGTTTATCAATCTACCTGTTTACCTGCACATGAGCTTTGTACAGTCTTGGGAATAATAGTGGGATAACAAACCGAAACAAAGTGGATGGTTGATGCAATATAGTGATTATGAGTGTTTCTTTTCACTTCAAACTTTAATGTTTTCTACTTCTTTTTCCGAGCAATAAATAGAGTGTGTGCATGCATATAGTGTTTGTTGTGTGTGCATTGTGTATGTAGTGTGTGCATGTTAGAATGTTTGTTGTGTGCACAGTGTGTATATTACAGTGTGTACATGTGCATGGTATGTATGTCTATAATGTGTATATAGTGTATGTTATATATGTATAGTGTATGTGTGTGAGCAAGATAAACACAGTAGTACCATATCAGCTTTGCATCACTAAGGTGACTTTTTTAATTTTGGAAAAATCTTTATTAATTTACTCTTACAACAATGATAAAGACTAGAGAGATGGAGAGAGGTTAAGAACATATACTCTTATAGAGACCCAAAGTCTGGCTCCCAGCACCCACACTGGAGAGTTCACAACTGCCTGTAACTCCAACTGCAGGGAATCCAACATCCAAGCACATTTGCACATATTCCCTGACACACATACACATAATTAACAAAATAAATCTTTAAAACAACAACAAATCCATGACTTAAGTAATCCATTACTATGGGAAATAAAGACATATTAGAAAAAAAACTTTAATAGGAACTGAGGTTTTAGCTCAGCTAGTGGAGTTCACAATGCCCTGGGTTTGATCCCCTGGTATTTCAATACAGCCCTGGTGTTATATTCCTGTAATCCTAGCATTCAGGGAGTAGAGGGAAGAAGCTCAGAAGCCCAAGGTCACTCCCAGCTATGTGACTAGTTCAATGATAACTAAGGTGTTTTTTTAATTTCTATCTTTCCAATTTTTTTCAATGACCATTATTATTTTTACTTGCAAAAATATTAAATGAAGCACCCAATTTTAAGAACCAGTACATTAAACAGTGAAATATGTAAAAATAGTAATACAGATGTGTAGTCCCAATATGCTATGATTATTAGCATCTAATGAAATGAAGTGTAAACAGTCACTGCTGTGTAATGACATGCACACAGGAGCAGTAGAATGTACAAATCTAGTTTTCACAGTGAGTGGAAACTAGAATGCGTGAGGAGTCGAAGGCTAAAACATTGGGTGAGGAGTTACTCCATAGCTGCAATGCCCACAGCAACATGTGGCTGTTTGGATTAATATCTTAAAATGTTAAAAATTAATTCTCTGTCCAATGAGACAGCTCAGAGGGTAAGGGCCCTTGCTACTAAGCCCAACCATCTGAGATCAATCTCTTGAGCCAACATGTGGAGGGAGTGGGAGAGGAAAGAAAAGAGGGAGGGAAGGAGGGAGGGAGGGAGGGAGGGAGGGAGGGAGGAGAGGATTGGTTGTTTGAGTTGTCTGTCCTCTGATGCCAACTTGTGTGTAATGGCTTACACACCTTTTGTAGCCTGGACCCAAAAGACAGTAATGAAGGTAATATTAAGAATCATTCTTCAAGCTGGGCAGTGGTGGCTCATGCTTTTAATTCCAGCACTCAGAAAGCACAGGCAGGAAGATTTCTGTGAGTTCAAGGCCAGCTCCATCTACAAAGAGAGTTCCAGGACAGCCAGGGCTGTTACACAGAGAAATCCTGTCTCAAAAATCCAAAACTAAGAAGAAAAAAAAAAAAGGAAATCATTTCCCAATTTTCCTAGTCACATTTCAAGCAATCTCATTTATTGAGCTCCACATATGTTCTATCATGACAGAACATTTCATTGAAAATGATATGTTAGACACAGAATATTATGTATGCCAGAAAGCTTAGGCATTGGGAGTATAAGCACCGTGGGATGGAAACTTATGGAGTGGGCAAAAGACCTAAACAGCTGCAGATGAAAAATGACAAAAGTACTGTTAACAGGGCTGGAGAGATGACTTGGCTGTTGAGAGGACTGGCTCCTCTTTTGGAGGACCCAAGTTCAGTTCCTAGCACCTACATGGAGCCTCAAAACTGTTTGTAATTCTATTCCCAGGGTATCTGGTCTGGTCTCCAAAGTACCAGAAAACATGTGTTATTACATTAGCATAGATGCAGGCAAAACACCCATATACATAAAAATAAATTTTAAAAAGTCCCATTGTCAGAAAAAGAAAATATCTAGTTAAGAAATAAAAAATTGCCTTAGTTGCCTTCAAGGCATTTAACAGTTGTTAATAAAATGCAATGAAATCTGTGGCACAGGAAGACAAACAATTCCATGGGCACCATCACTAGCATTTAAAATTTAATTGACAACACACACAATATTGAAATTGAAATTGAAATTATTTTGGGGCTAATGGTTCAGTTCTGAGGTACATCGTACGCTTGACTTAAGTTATGTGAAATCTGGGGTTCTGCTTCCATCACCCCAAAATAGAATAAAATAATAAGATAAAAGGACAGTTCCTACAGATGAAAAAAATTAAACACTGAACCCTTTAAAAGAATATGTGCTTACAAGGATTTGAAAACTAGGTATTGGCTGAAAAAAGTACAAAGTTAGATGACAGTGTTTGTGATGATGGCGATGATGATAGTAGTAACAATGCTGAGGGTGAGGGTGGTGATGCTGATGGTGAGGGTGGTGATGCTGATGGTGAGGGTGATGGTGAGGGTGGTGGTGGTGATGGTGAGGGTGGTGATGCCGATGGTGAGGGTGGTGGTGGTGATGGTGAGGGTGGTGATGATGCTGATGGTGAGGGTGGTGGTGGTGATGGTGAGGGTGAGGGTGGTGATGCTGATGGTGAGGGTGGTGGTGGTGATGCTGATGGTGAGGGTGGTGATGCTGATGGTGAGGGTGGTGATGCTGATGGTGAGGGTGGTGGTGGTGATGCTGATGGTGAGGGTGGTGGTGGTGATGGTGATGGTTAGGGTGGTGGTGGTGATGATGATGTGATGACTGTGATGATGATGATGTGGTGAACAGAGCTGACAGGCCGCTGAAGGTTATTCTGTAGGGTAAGAGAATGCAGTATAACAGAGAGTTAAAGAAGCAGCATACTGCTTCAAACTGATCTCTAGGTTTAAAATATCTATGATACACACCAAATCCTATATATGAGAAAACTAAAGACAAGAGATTTTAAGTAATATGCCAAGGTCTGTAATTCAACTCAGGCACCCTGCCTTACAGTCGGCATTCTAAACCTATTAAATTCACTTTTAAAATGTTTTAATTATCTTTACTATATACCATCTATCTATCTATCTATCTATCTATCTATCTATCTATCTATCCATCCATCCATCCATCTGTCATCTGTCGCTTCTAATTTCAGAACTCTTGGCAACTCTCTGTTATAGGACGGCCTCTACACTGCAGGATATTGCACGCCATGCCAGGCCTCTACTTACTATAATCCAGAAACCAGCCTATCCTCTACTCCATGTATCTTTGGTAACAACAAATAGAATATCCATAGACATTGGTAAATATGCTTCAGAGAATAATGCTATTTCCAGTGACAAACAATCACTGATAAATATGTCATATATAACATATTTAAGTAACATATTCATGATATAAGACATTATAGTGATCAAAACAACATTTTGTACTAAACAAAAAATTGAATAATAAATGTGTAGTCTTGCACTTAAGTTAATTTCGGATCCATCAAACAACCACATTGTAAGTATTAAAGGGTGAAAAGGAATTATAATTGAATATAGCAAGGGCTCATAGGAGACAATGCATCTGTAAACATGGAATAAAATACTCATAATAGAGAAAAAGTAACATGTTTGATAAAGTATTAACAAAGTAATAAGTTTACTATAATCTGAATCAACAATAACTTAGGAAAATATTATTTGGTGGCACATTAACATAATTAATGGACAAAGAATTTTCAGCATTTATAAGAAA